TTCAGTAAACCTTTGGGCAGAATGCAGTCGATGCGAACTTCCCTCCCCCCCTCCACCCCGACTTCACCCCAAACTTCTTCTATAAGTCTAATAGCACCAACATAGGACAGTATTTTATGAATAAGTATTCAAGGAAGGACTTACAGAGCTTCTCGAGATTTGAAAAAATCTTACCGGTAACTGGTGGGTTGACACACAGCACCTGTTTCGAGATCGTAATACAGCTCGGCACCAGGGAATATTGCTCTGTTAGATGATATCTGAACAAGGAGGAATAAACTTGCTGCCGCGGTCCCTTTACAGCTCTCACAAACCTGGAAATATGTGTGTTCTGGAAGATGCTTGGCCACTGGTATGTACCGTCGCTGGTACATATCTTCCAATCTAGGTCGCTTCACCTCCGTACTGTACTCCATATCGCCATTCTTTTCAGAGCTCTCAGATATTTCAAGCTGTTTCATGATCTAAAAGAGGTTCCTCACTATTTCTCTATTTTTTTTGGCGCAAATCGGCTTGGTGGGGTCGTTTTCTGGTTTCCACCGGCAGGGTACAGCATCTCCGTACAACCCCACCCCCTTTCCCTAACACCTACTTACAAATTTCCCCCATTTTCCAATTTTCACCCACAGATTTTCCGTCGAGTGGTGGGTATATAGCCAGTATGAAGACTAACAAAACAACCTAGAAAAGTGCAATATGCCCCTCCAAGCCGAACAGCGCCTTTTAGTGTTATTCATCATTTTGTGAAAAAACTATATCGCTGGCATGGTTCATGGAAGAACAAGCAGCTCACCTGGAGAAATTCCTGCTTCTCTGCAATCCGCCTTCTTTTCCTCTTCGACATTGTCACGGTGTTTGTGGACTGATGTACCTCTGCATGACAAGAATGCCCATTTGTTTCGGAGCCCCTGTGCCCATTCACCTTATTTTCTAAAACATTCACTTGAACATGACGTTCGCCAGAAAGAGAAACAAGAATTACTAACGGTGAGCCTCCAGCATTTCGACGAAAGGCCCGCCAAGAGCTATGCAGATGTCTTCAATAATTTCATCACTTCCGCAGATTGCACCAGGCAGCTCTTAGTAATGCTTGTATCGCCGGTATCCTACCACTGCTGTAGCTAGCGCTTAAACAAAATGGCTATGATCGACGAAATTTATTGGAATCCCTGTGAAGCATGATTACAGGAATAAAGCGACTCACCGAATTGATCAGGATCTGAGGACTGTTTGGATCGACCACGGAAGCGGAAGTAAAGTCGATAGCTGTTCTCACTTTTACGCGAAGATCCTGAAGAAACCATAAGTCCAATAAGTTACACCTGACACTGCCTAAGAGCGCGTTCATACATCGAGACCCAACCGCGCGATATAAGGCCGCGCTCACACTTTGACTGAGGAGATTCGGCGACTGAAGTAGTTCTTGGTTTGGGAGCGATGAGAAACTCACAGGCTTTTTTTCCATAGGATTTACCTGGCGATCTGAGCAATATTCGTGACTATTTGAGAGATTTACGATTTGGCGTTTTGGAAGATCGCCGAATCGCCGAGTCTCCGCAATCGCTAGCAAGCGGCGCCGATCTATACCCATCCACTTCTTTGGTGCGCAATCGTCGGAAATCCGAGTCTCTCAAACGTCAAATTGCTCAATCTCCAAGTGGCAATATTATACCTATTCTTTCTCGTCGCGCAGTCTCTCAAATCGCCGCATCTTTTCAGCAGCTAAGCATGAACGCGGCCTAAGCGATTAGATCACGAAGTATGGATGCGTGGCGTGCGAAGATTAAAAGACTTGAATAATTTAAGTGCAGTGCGACATGAGGGGATAGAAGCCGAAGATAAACAGAAAAATTGAAGTAGAAATAAAAGCATACCAATAACCACGAGCAGATCGAGTTCATCTTTATCAGCAGCCATTTGGTATGAAAATTACCGAGTTCCTCGCCAAAGAATACTATATCGGGCTTGATAATTCCATCCATACACTTAGGGCAATGCGGCACTCGCTAAAATAACTCATTGACTCACTCGCCTGTGGCTGAATTCTGAGAAGCGACTCGCAATATTTTTTTTGCAATTCAAAATCAACTATCATCGACCAGAATGTATGCTACATATTGACACATCCTTAAAGGCATTTGGCACGATAAATCCCCCAAGACAACTAGGATCAATACTTCTAACAGGATAGAATTCCGCTGCCCTGAGCAGGCGCTGCATAGCGGTTTCCCCGAGAAAGAAGGGCCCTAACGCAAAACATATTACGTCCCAGAACCACCGCCACGCCCGCCCACCCACAAATGGACGACCGCTCCTGACGCTCCTATTCATTCATTGCTAAGCAAATTATGAAGCGAAGGGATTGGTATGAAGCGGCCGTGATGCTGCATGCATACATGGGTACACATATGCAGCCGTATCTTCGGTAGCGGTGATTGGTAAGATGCCTACGGGAAACTCGTCCGAAATCGATTTACAAGTCACTGAGAACGGAGGCTTTTTCTTCGCAGGATTTTGACCGTTTCACTCCGTTCTTTCGCCATTTCCCCACTATACAGCGCCCTAGTAAGGCTAGGTAGGAAACCATCCCTTTAAATCGGATCAAATCAATCGACTTCAACTGGCCAAATTGGCTGTCGCTAACTATACGACATAGCGGGGTACAACCAAGTACTTCTTCAATTTTTCGCAGAACTGCATCGTTATGTATGACTATTTAAGCCGCCTATATATTGAGGTTTAGGTAGTGTAGAGCGGCAAGTAGCAAGCTTACCACACGCGCGGTCTAAGGGTCAAAGAGAATAAGCTTGCTCCTAGGACCGGAACTTGTGAACTAGCGAAAGTGCAGAATGCCCCCCATTCCTCCATCGTTGCTGAATTGCGCTATCGAAAAGTTATCAACACAACGATTCAACGAAAGAACAGTTAGAATGACATCAAGCAAACTGAAATACCAACGGACCTTAGCCAAGACGTCGTCCTTAATTACATCACCATCGAATTTGGCAAAACATTTCAAACATGTCGCTTTAGAGAAAGAACCTGTAATGAAAGAAAAATGAACAGAAAAAAAGAAAGAATGGTAATGAAACGTAAACTACACTACGGCCTCAGTTCTTTGCTAACTACAAATAGTAGATGATCTACGCTTAACAAAACCTGAAATATTCGAGAACCACTCACCATGACATTCGACGACTCTTTCAATCTTCGCCTGTTTCTCCAATGTATCAATATTTTGGGTGTAGTTTCTCAAAAGTTGGTTGTTCACTTCTAGCTGGCGAATGAATTTGTGAGATATCGATGGTTCAAATTGGCCAGGAAAGATTTCCTGGAAATATGCCCATTAGCAATTTATAATGACTTCTCCCTTTCGACAGCCCAAGTACCAAACAAGGTTATACATCGCTTTATCCGAGCAAATTTGAAGTTCACAAGTTTCTCCCAATCGGGTCAGATGGAATGCTGTGGAAAAGACGGAAATATTGAAGCAAGAAGTTTAGGGAAATAGAGGCTGCACGAGATCAGTGAGTAAGAGGAGGATGAAGAAAGAAAAAATAGGACAACATAATCAGGCCGAGAAGATATCATAAAGATCAATGAAAAGAAGGAAAAATAAGGGGTTCACGACTGGAATTATGTTGTTAATAGACCGAATCGAAATCCTCAAAGGTACCCAAATTCAGGAATCGGAGCGAATTTCAAGGGTGACCCCACCTCTCAGAGAAGACTTCCATCTGCTACTCCCAGTCACATGAGTCGCAAATGGATAGGACGAGAATAAGAGGATAAGAGCTCGAGGCGTTAATCTCTTTTCGGAACGCGCTGCGCTTCTACTTCCATCCAGAATCGCACCAGCTTACTTATGCAATTCTGAGTGCAAAATGACAGCCAAAGCCAGGGGATGAAGAAGTCAGGGTTTTTGTACTCCTAGATAAGAACGATACCGATTTTTCCAGCCCAAGGGATGACGTGCACCTGCAAGAGCCGAATCGAGATTTGACTCCCACCATCGCGTTCATAGTAAAATGAGATATGAAAGTTAGTTAGTTATATGAAAGTTGGAGAGAAGAGATCAAGTAATTGTCTGTGGGATTAGAAACCAAACTAACCGAAGCAAAATCATAGAACGGAGCCGGATTGTGACTGAAATAACGGATGTCAAACATCGCTGTAGGGTCAGGAAGATCAGGAAAGTCGACATGCAAACGAGCATAAATACCTGAATAGCAATCATAAAGACATCTACAAGCTCTACCTCTGCAGATATTGTATGTTCCACTGTTTAAGGAAATGTGCACAAAGTTAAATGCACTGTATACTAAAAATTTGATAGGTTTCAGGAGGACAATGAAAAAAATCTTCTTCATAGAAAAGAAAATGGGCGCTACTCTAACATACAAGGCGGCATTTTGGTGGAGGCATCTAAAACACCATTAATACATTTCCTCTACTATGAAAGACTAAAAGAAGCCTTTTGCTCAAGCCTGGGATGGTAAACCACTCCTATGCGTGTGAAGCGCTCCACTCAACCAACAGTTCCTTTCGTCTGAATGTCAGGTAGCGTTTTACTTCGCCACTAGAGCAATCCAATCGCCAATCATTGGACCACTGCAAAGGTAGACACAATTTTGATTTCGAAGGGCCTGAAGTAGTCTCTCAGCCACCAAACGATTAGCTGTAGGGGAGGGTCGGTCAAGGTCCCCCGATTACCAGTTCACAAGACTGAAGCGCGAACGATGAAAGCTTCCTTGGAAATCCCTCACTTCTGACTCATAACAGTTTCTTTGCGCCCTTAGAAGTAACGTCGCGTTCATACTTAGCGACTCGAGCAATTCAGTCTCGCGATTCGGAAACCTGGCACCACCGCTAGTCGCTGGACAGCAGCAACAAGCGAAAGAAGTTCATGCACACGGCGATTGAATGAACTTGCGGTCCAATGATTGGCGATAGGTCGCGTCGCGCGATGTGTGAACTGCTCGATTCGCGAAGTGTGAACGCGTGCAAGAATCCGAGAACGAATTCCCTTAAATGTCCCACTATCTAGAAAAGATGTAAAGAGATCATAACATTGAAAAATACCATCTTTGCTGCGAAAGTCTGGAATGCCGCAGGAGACAGAAACTCCAGCACCGGTCAAAATCAGTATCCGCTTGCGAGTTCTGAAACCGCAAACTATAAGAGTTTTGCTCCGCAGTTGGGAAACAAACAGATGTAACTGCTAGGACTAATACATACTTGAAGAGCTCCACAGCATCCTCGAATGTGTTGTACTGTGTAAGTTTACTCCTTGTAGGTGGGCGATCCAATATTTCCGCAAGAATTGACATGATCTGCAAAAGCAAGTTGAATATAATTGCATTTGTATTGTATTAAAAAGCAGCTACAACCAGTGCACGCCCTGCCGTTGGGAAGTAAAATTTGCAAAACTCTACCCCCCCGCCCCCTTTACAAGTTCCTCCTCTATTACAAACCCCACCCACTCCTTCTTTTCCTACCTACCTACCTACCGTTGTCTCCCTATATCTACCATTCTCTCACTTTCCTACCTTTACCAACGTTCTCCCAAAACCTGCTGTCAAACGGAGGTGCGGGAGGTAATAGCGCACATGAAACGGTAAAACCGTTCCATTGCTCTTGAAGCAAATACGTTTCCCCCTTTCCTCCCTCCATCGAGCAAGAACTATCTTGTGGGGATCCTCAACGTACGAAGTGCCCTGAATACAGTGCAAAGAAAGTAATAGCAATGGAACAAACAGAGCTTTTTATCCGCAAAAGAGCACCGGCCCAAGCAAAAACATTAGAAAAAAGCGATGTACCAAGTGTTCTGTCCAGCCCTCCGGAGGTTCCTTCATTCGTGGATACAAAGCTTTGATAACATCGACAGGTGTTGCACCAGCACTGAACATTGCCTCCATCCTCATCAAAGCATCCGATGAATTCTGCAATGCAAGTGATTCTTATTACTGCTAAGTCAGTGTTCTTATACTCCCAGATGAATCTGATCTCAGTTCTGTACCCAGAGGGTAGAAGGCTTGGTCGACTTGGGATTTTACCCTCAGACCGCATGCATGGTAAGCGTGGCACTGGCGACTACACCCTCGACCTCTCACACTTACACATAAGGTTACTATGCACAACTCGCTCCTATTCCAGAAAGTAGGGTGGTGGCATCGAGGGTTACGTGATTACATGAACTTTTCTGCATGGTCCTGATGCAAAACCCCGCGTGCAAAGGACTGCGCTGCTAAACTATCGAAAGAGTATGCTGAAAGCCGGGGCTAACTTTTCGAGGGGCAGTACCCCGGGGCGGAGAAGTCACTATGCATGAAAAGCTGGAGTTGTATGATTACATTGGTCACAGACTATTATGTAGATGATACAGCGCAAAAAAAATCAGAGAAATAACACGAGTCCAGGCACGTCCCGCGTTCAAGAATGGCGGGCTGGGGCTCTAACACCAGTGACAAGGTGGCAAGTAGTACAATAGTGAAGAAAAGAGTCGAAAAACCTTCAGATGTCCTGGATCGCGTTCAGTGCTCCGAGTTGTACGAGAGTACGGCGAAGAAAGAGCATGCTTAGACGAGTTCTCGCTTATGACATCACAACGATATAAACCTTTTCCCCTTATACCTTCTCACCAAACGGAATGGGACGAGCTAAAAGCGGAACAATCGTACCGCGACGAATCCCTAAAAGTGAGTGCTGGGCGTGGCCTGCGGCAGCAGGCGGAGCATTGCTGTCGTTGCGATCGCGTAGCGATCTTATTCTATATTATGAGGCACAAAGCGGCTCATCCTTTGCAAGGCGAAGACTACCGTCCAAAGCCCGCGTTTGCACAACAAGCAAACATGCTTTGAAGGGATTACGTCCAAATAATCAGTAAACCTGCAAAAAGGCAAAGTGCTACTCACCGGATTTCGCCAACATTCAGAGCCGACCGGAGAAGGGACATCAGCTCCGTCACCTTCGCCCTCTGGAGGAATATCCAGACCACATATACCTAGTTTTGACGATGAAACGTTCTATAATAAAATAGGTTTCAATTGTGTAAGTTGGAACGTAATGTAGACTATTCTAGTGGTAAAAGTTGATTCAAAACCAAGTAAACCGAGCAAACCTTAGCTCCTTCTTCAGGAGTCAATGTTGATAATTCAGATGTTGCATCGCAACATCCGTTTTCGCCTGTAGCATTGACCATTGAATTTTACAGGCAGAAACCTTCAAAAAACAAAGACTTAAGATTGAAAAAAGGAAGGAACGTCATGTCGGAAAACGCTTCAGGAAAAGAAGCAAGAGCAGCCAGTCGTTAGTCGTTATAAGTTAACAAAAGTCAAGAAAAAAGTGAGAAAGGCATGAGCTGAAAATGTGAATTCAATTTGGTTTGAAGGAGAAGACATCAGTTGTTCGGAAGCCCACTTGTCCTAGGTATCAATGGTTCTGCGAAAATGAGAAAAGACATAAGAAAATGAACAGCAAGAAATGGTGGCGTTCCCCTGAACACCAAATAAACAGGATTCAAACTGAGTAACTGTAATTAATAATAATAATAATAATAATAATAATAATAATAATAAATGAAACAAGACATTTTTTAATACAAGCAACAAGTGACTCTTAAAATTCGAGAACGACAGCGCTAATTTTTCAGCGTTTTCATTTGGGCAGATGTCCGTATGTAACCCCAGTACATATTATAACGTAGAAATAAGGAGAAAGTAATATCTCTCAGAGCAATAATTGCAAAAAAACTGCAAAAAAATATAAATAATTCCAATGAGATAGAATCATCCAGCGGGACGCTAACAAAAGCAAATACGATACAACTGCAGTGGAGTGAGTGAACGAGAAATACTAGAACGCATTTAGAAGATCTTGTGAGCCAAAGAAAGTCCGAAACTTGTTAAAAAATTAAAAACTGGCCGACTTTATGAAAAAGGTGGACGGAGGAACAGCGACACGCACGCGCGCTGCTACGCATCCGAAGGAACTCAGCACCGTACGCAATCACAGACACATTAAGTGACGCGCAATTTTCAGGCAACGTCAATCATCAAGCATCCGGTCCATGCAGGGGCATACTCGGGAACGGAGGATGTGCCTGTAGGCTTTTCTACCCTGCCTAGCCTACGGGCAGCTGGTTTCATAGCCACGAGTTGTTCATGGTTGCGCTTCTACGATTTTGTGTAGGTCAGATGATAAAAAAGCTCTCTAGGTCGCTGAATCCACACCTGGAAAAATCGACGGACGAGTTCTCCACAGACCCTGCAAATCGTTGTGGAGTTTGCGACGTGCTCATACATCGTTGCTTGGGAGATAAGGAGATACGGCGATCCGACGATTTGGCAAGAATGCGCGTAAAAGAGTTGGCGCAATTCGATCGACTCCAGCCACTGGGGCGCGTTATCCCGAGTCGCCGATTCTCCCATTCTCCCAAATCGCCAGATCAATACTATACTTTCCTTTAATGCGCACCCTTCAAAACGTCGAATCGCCGAGTTTGCTGTTCCGTGAGAAAAGTGGGGGGCGCGGCTTCAGAATTCCAGAGAAGGTTGAGCTGCGTTCATACTCAGTGTTGGCGTTTTCAGCGTGCGGCAGCGTTTCCAGCGTCTGCCTGCGAAAAGTCCAAAACTATCCGCGAAACGGTCACGACGCTGACTGGTGTACGTTCAGAACGCTAGATCGATCCTATGCTTCCCTAGTCGTTCAGAACGCTGCCGTGCCCTCGAAACGGCGCAAAGTATGAACGTACTC